CTCTCTCTCTCTCTCTCTCTCTCTCTCTCTCTCTCTCTCTCTGTGTCTGTGTGTGTGTGTGTGTGTGTGTGCGTGCGTGCGTGTGCGCTTGTGTGTGTGCGTGTGTGCGTGCGTGTGTGCGTGTGTGTGACGTGCACACACACACACACACACACACACACACACACACACCGGGATCGCCAGCTTTGGGCGAGCTGGTGTGTACGCAGACATCAGTCGAGTTCATCCTGAACAGACTGTGGAGGTTCGAACTCTTGAGAAGTCGGTTGAAGTCCGACGAAACTCTCTCTCACTCAGTCCTGCTTTCACTGGGGTGTTTTGTTTAGCCAACTCACACACACACACACACACACACACACACACACACACACACACACACACACACACACACACACACACACACACACACACACGCACGCACACACTCACGAGCGCGTGCGCGGGGACGATAGAACCGGGGGGGGAAGGGAGGAAGAGGCAAGAGAAAAGAAACAAGCACTCACCTCTTCTTCTGGCTGTCCAGCGCGCACACTCGGTCTGGACCAGCTCAGCCCCAACAGAGAAAGCAGGGCCACAAGGAGACCGGCAACGAGCGCTCCGATCGTCGTCGTTAAATCCTCCATGGTAGACCTCGGAATTCGATGCCTGCCGACGGAGGAGACATAGATTACTTCGCTGAACCTAAATCATAGTAAAGCTTCAGCACGCCTCAGCAACCTGCGGGGCAAGGCCACGTTGAAGAACACTGCCCACTGATTCTTCCACTCACACGTTGACGAACCCGCTTGCCGATGCCGATGTGTTTGGACGGGCCTGTGTTACATCACAAGAGCACGTGCAAGTGCACGTGCGTGTGCAAACCCGTTTAAGCGCGCAGACGTTGGTAACCGCCCACCACACGTACGAAGCCCAAAGCTATGGCTATGGTAGGAAGCAAACCGTCGAATAGTCCGGCTATGGAGAAAACGATGAAACGCAAACCTATGGCTATGGTAGAAAGCAAACTGTAGGATAGTACCGGAGAGGCGCGCAGACCAGATGGACCCAGAGCGAACCAGCCCAGGTCTGTGGACCGCCTAACCGACCGACCAGGAAGTACCTCTGGCACGGGGACAGTTAGCTTTCCGCGTTGCCCACGGCCACGTGCTTTCGTTCGGTAGCAGGAAATGCCGGTTGTGCGACTCCTTGTTGTGCGATAACTTGTATCTTGGGGAGGACGGGCCTGTCCGTACGTTGTATTGGGGTATGGCGGGCCAATTCGCGCTTTGTATCTGGGGAGGGCGAGCCACTCGGCACGTTGTCTTCAGAAAAGGGGCGCAATTCACGAGTGCTCCGTGTGCGACGGCACACGAAACCGTTGCAGAAACTGCGAACGCCCACTCTTCGCGCCGCCTTTTGAAATGGTAAGGCTCACAAGTTGCATTGAGGAGGTTGTGGGTTCAAATAGCTCATTTTCCGACGTGGGCATACTCGGATGTTCATGAACATGGGGCCTCGCTGCACAACACTGGAATCTTGAAGAATCAAGTGTACGGCACCGCCGCACTTACACTCAAAAACAAAGCTTGGAAACAGCTTCAAGAGCTGTCAGATAGGCGCTAGATTCTTCAAGAGTGAGTCATCGCTGCACTCACACTTGACGGATGCTCTTGAACTTCTTTTTCAAGAGGTGTCAGAAGGCCCAATTCTGACAGCCCTTGAAGTGTTCAAGTGTGCCTGCCTGCAAGGGTGGGTTTTTTTAAGGGTGGTCGGCCCGACCCTTCACGAGCTCTTCAGCTTTCAAGAGCGGGCCTCCAGTCTGGGCGGACAAAGCAGCTCTGCACCGTCGTGTAAGAATCCTTCAAGAGTAGGGCCGTCGAGAGTCAGTGCAGCGACGACGGCTATTGTGAGCATTTCTCTTGTCTGAGAGCTCTTGATCTACGCTTGAACTTTTTTGTGAGTCAAGCGTATTGCTGCGAGGCCCATGGTTGCAGCTGCTACAAGGTTCCCCGTAATACTGATAGCGACAGTAAGGCCAGAAAGGCCATCCTGTCAGATTCGCCAGAAGATTGAATTGGGTTGGCCGTACGCAAATCGCTCGAATTCCGCTGAAAAATGGATGAATAAACTGATGTTCACAAACCCATAAGGCTGGTCAACCCCTGTGCAGTGGAAAAGAATAAATGGTCTGAGGGCGGGTTCAAAACTCCGCAGCTTTGCGCAGAGACACGGACACGGTCACTTGCATTACCCCCTTGGGCTGATGCAGGTAAGCTATTACAGACACTGCCTGCGCACCACCCAAGAGATCATCTATGCTGTTGTATGTTTGGTCTGTACTACGGTTTGCTTGCACACTTGGTCCATGGGGTTGCCAGGATGGTTGCACACGTGTCCCTTACTGGAGCTCAGCACAACACACATTCAGACCACTCGAAGCTGTAGCCCTGGTAGTTTAACACTGGTCACTGATGAGCATGAGGTTCAGCGTTTGAGGTTTGATACCCAAAAAATGAGTTCGCGAATAAATATTGTGGGGATGCATACTAGGGTTGTGGGCGGTTGATCACGTGGTATTGGTTACCTTAGGGCTCAGCTTTGCGGGGGCATGGGTTCTAGGTGGGATTGATCAGGGGACTCCACTGGGGGGAGGGCTGGTTGGACTCTATCCCTACTGAAGGGTTGGTGCCCCTGCAGTAGTGGATGTCTTAGGGGTCCTCTGGGTTGACCTGGTGGAGGATATCATTGGGGAACCTGCATTAGAGGCTGTCTTAGGGGGCCGGAGGTTGGTCTGTTACCTGCATGGAGAAGACTGTCGGATTATAATAGCCAAGAGTAGCTCCCGTTTATGATAGGGGTTGGGGGAGCGGATGATGGCCGTGAATCCCCTAAGGACGGAAACTGAAGTTACTCTGGGGATGCTAATAGAATGCATAGACATCCAGTTGATGATAGAGGTATGGGGAGCGATGGTGGCCGTAAGCCTACTGAGGACGAAACTGGAGATGCTGTAGGTTTGAATAACCTCCGCAACAATTCAAAAGAATAACCAGAGGGATCTGATGATGACAGGTTTAGGATCTCTCTAAAAAACAGGAAAAACTACGGTAGGGTTCGCCTATAGGACTTTGTAGTGGCATGCTTAACACTAGCGCTCGAAGTGCCCGGTACGATGTGGCTGGTTTGATAGTGCTTCAATCAGGGTTGGGGAGGGAGGTGAGAACCTGCTTAGCCCTGATGCCTATAACCGTTGCCCGGTCAAAGATCACTAGAATGGGTGATGATCCTGGGTATACTCGGGTAGGACCTTGGGAGTAGTGATACGCCAGGGATCATGGTGATGAGTAAGGGTGGGAGGGTGTCTCATAGGGGACTAGTTATGATCAATTGGTCAGGTAGTGGCAGGGCTGTCATATGCCTAGTGGCCAGCCTCTACAGCAACATGGACGTATAARAAAAAAAAAAAAAAAAAAAAGCCTCTTCGCTGACCAGTTATTCCCACATATGTTTTTCTTTTTCCAAGCGCGAAAGATTGCCCACCTCGCTGCAAACAGGATCCAGCCACACCACTAGGGGTCATGTGCCACTTGCGCACATTTTCTATATCTGGTCATTGATCTCCACAATGTACAACCACAAATGAAAAAAACACGTCCGTGGGACGCTTTAGCCAGGCAGGTGTTGGAAAAGCTAATTCCCAAAGGTTGATGCAACGCAAGCGGTTGTTGAAGGCCCAGGATTGCACATGACTTGTCAATCCAAATGGAAGGAGGGAACGAAGGAGGGAACACAAAAACCCCACTGAGCCATGGTGAGAGACGAGAATCGTTCACAGTGTGGTTTGGTGAAGGGCTTGTCGCGTGTTCCGTCGGGGACGACCCAACAGAAAACCCTAGTGAGGACAAGACATGGTAGCTCAATTGGTTAGAGCTATGACTTTGCAAAGGAGAGTAGATAGTCAACCCTCAACCTCTCCTGCGCACACAAAATTGGTGTTAGTTTGACACCCCATGTACTTATACCCTCTAGCCTCGCGTAGTACACGAGCTGGCATGATACATGGGATCTTTAGGGGAGAGTTGGGGGGTCTATTATCCCTTGGGTGCCTTTGTTGGGAGGTGCCTTGAGGAGTTGTACTAGGAGTGGGAGCATTGCTCTGCATAGGCATTATCATGGGCGGTGAGCATCCTTGTAGGAATGGAGTGTAGCGTATGGGCATAGTTGCCCCTGCATCGCAGGGAAATGGGATGGGTTTGCGGGGTCTGAGGGGCCCTGTCGGATGCATGGTAGGGAGAGATCTATAGGAGGGGAAACAACTCAGATCGAACCCGTAGACTTGTACACAATTGGATACGGTAGGCATATGCAGATCAACACAACGAGGCTAGGGCCCTTGGAGAGAGAGGGGTGTTGCCCCATAGGGCCCCTATCGAGTGTGGCGTCTTGAGGGCAGTACCAAGGATGGGAGCACTCACTTACGCTAGCATCATCATCGAGGGCAGTGATTTTACTGTTGGGAGGGAGTACAAATAGGGGTTGGGGGATGGGTTGCGTTTGAAGTGTCAAGATACGCTCACAAGCAGTAGAGGGCAGACTAGTACAATACGAATATACAGACCGAAATATCTACAGATATGCAAATTTTCGTACCAGGCATATATGTACGGCTAGTTGAGCTATGCAAAACTCATAACATCAACACAAACAAAGAACAAGAAGCGTCTAGCCGACCAATACTCTGATCCGTACAAAAAATGTTGAATTTAGTGCAAAATACAATTGTGTTAGGCTAGAGGGTAGTAGTAAGGGTCAGAACTCTCATAGGTTAAACCTTAGGCTTGGCCACTAGACACTTCATGTAATATTCCACGGAGGGTGGCACATACCTGATGAGGGGGCAATAATACCACGTACTCCTAGTTCCACTCGTAAGCTTGTAGGGGAAAATAGATTCATCCCTAACTCCCGAAGTACCCGTACGACAAAGCTCGTCCAATAATGGCTCAAGCAAGGGTGCAAGGGGGTTCTCATTCAACATTAGTGCCCATAATCGGCATCTGGTCAGATCGGTTCACCACGGACTTGTAGAAGGTTTATGATCCTTGGTGAGGTAGGATAGGGAAGTGAGCGGTGCATTGTCGAGCGCATCAGTCTTGCAAGGGGATCCTCCCTGGCGCGTCACGCATGATTTGTGCAGGACTTGTTCGCACAAGCGGTTATCGGGTAGCTGAAAATTCAGGAATGAAAATTATGAAGTGAGAGTTTTTGGCAGTCTGAAAATTCTGAATGGTTCTGAAGTGGTGAAAGGTCCGATGACCCTCAAAACCACCCGTTTAGGCAAGCTGCATCCTGAAGTGGTGAAGGGAGTCCTGAAGTGGTCAAGTGAGAGTTTTTGGCGGTCTGAAAATCCTGAATGGTTCTGAAGTGGTGAAAGGTCTGAAGACCATGAAAACCACCCTTCACCAGTTGAGGATGCAACCTGTCTAAACAGCTGGTTTTCAGGGTCTTCAGAGCTCTCCCCACTTCAGGTTCATTCAGGATTTTCGTACCTGAATGGTCTTGAAGTGGTGAAAGGTCCGAAGACCCTAAAAACCATTTATTTAGGCAGGTTGCATCCTGAAGTGGTGATGAAAATACGACTGTTGTTAACCTTCTCTCCTTGTTCACAGTGGAGCTTTCGTCGCTCCGACCAAGTGCATCATCCATACCTCTCGCGAACCCTTACGACAGGATAGGGTCACGCGAGGTACAACTTACCCCAAGGGGTTGTCACCACCCTTGAACATGCGTATCCTCGCTAAGCTACCGAACCACGTGCGAAAGCTACTCAGTTGCAATCGCAGAGGTAGCCCAACCAAGGGCGTTTCTCGTATGCTGTAGCGTAGGGAGTATGCGTCGTCGCACGCCTTAAACCACAAATACACCCACACCTAATTTAAATGAACTTGAATTTCACTACACACTGAGTTTTGTCGAGTCTGGGTCCCGTTGTATTTTTTTCTCTCGTATTCTTCACAAACGAACTACATGGAAAAAAAAAAGAAAAAAAAAAGGCAACAACGTTATGGACGAGAAAGCAGTTAGATACAGAATCAGGGGTCAGTG